TATTATTATTATTATTATTATTATTATTATCATCATTATTATTATTATTATTATTACTTGTTCATGAGTACTTCAAGGAAAACTGTAGCTCACTTATTACTCACAGCTGTGACTGACTGGAGCACACCAAGAATTGGAGGTTGTGCTTTCTTGAATTGCATAAACAGTTAGAATAACTATATAAAACAAACCAGGAGCTGATTACTATTAACAGTCTTGAATTGGAGCAAAACATTTATTTATTTATTGCTTATTTTTATAAAATTGTCCAGATAATCATTGTGAATGCATGGTGCTGTGGAGGTTGCCTTTGAAACAGGATTTCTGTTTGAGCAGGCTACAGACAAACAATGCTCAATCACTTTAGTGTCTTCAAATAACTTTGTCCTGTATGGGAGTGTGTGCATGTTTGTTTGTGCTTCAGTCAGCCAGCCTGTCAGCCTGTCTTTGTTGGTGAGCTGATGCCATTATTGAAAGGGCCTGTTGTCGCTCTCTTATCTGGGATTAGCTTGTTTAGGCTGACAGAGTGGTGTGTGTGTGTGTGTGTGTGTGTGTGTGTGTGTGTGTGTTAAAGACAGAGCTGTAAAAAAGGCAGTGGATGCACTTCCACTGAAGAATAAACCTTTATTGTAAGAAACACTCACATACGGCTTGATTAAATTGTATTCACACAACTGAATATTCTGGGGTATCACCATTTATATGCAGTACTATGAAGTATTCATAAATAAACAAATTTAATGTCTTATAAGCTAATATACTATGAAAATTAGTATATAATGTGTAGTATTAATTGAGGCTCGGCAACAAAGACTGTGGAAACAGAGGTTTGGTTTGAGCTACAGTGAGCTGGGATCAATCTCAAATCGATTACGTTACCGCCAGCTCCCATTGTCTGGGTTTCACTATATTGCACCAAGATTGATTCACACCCAGTGTGTCCGTTGGTGCTCATTTGAACCCTGGAGTGTTTCCTTCTTCAGCTCTCTTAATTTTGTAGTCATAACGATGTCAAGTTGCGCGGCAGCAAGTAACCTCGCTGCAAAGCCTGAAAACGCAAGGCATGTGGAGGTCTGTCTTCATGTCTTTTAACTGGTAGAGCTGTGATGACAGATTGCAGACTAAGCCTTTATCGATGTACAGTACAATACATTTCACTCACCATGACTTGTATTATGCCATCTTTGATGATTAAACTCTAATCAGTAAAGATGAAAATGAATCGAATGAGTATAGGTGGGTTTCTCTTTCACTACGATACCAGTCCTCACTTCCTTTTCTCTATCTCACTTTGTCTCTGTATACTGCACTGCCTCTTCGTCCATTTCTCCTCCATTTTCTCTTCATCTACCTCCTCCACTTAATTATCAAATGTAGGAGGAGGGTCAAGGATTAATACATCTCCTGTGAAATACAGATGTGTTGAGCCCATCTTCAGGAGCCTGGCTGTGCAGTAAGGCTAGGCCAGGGTCACATTCTCTGGGCTCAGATCTGGTTATTGAGAGATGGAGGGATGGATGAATGGATGGATCAATGGACAGATGGGTGATGGAGATAAGAAGAAAACAAGTTTGAAGGAAGAGGTGGAAAAAAGACCAGAGGATGGTACAAGTCTTATTAGCTTTTAAATAAGTATTGTTTTCAGCTTGTGTGTGATCGCCATAAAATTATTGTTACTAGTCACAGTACACGACTGCGTGGTTTTGTTTAAAGAACATTCGTGTTGAACAAGACTGAGCGTACAGGTATAAATGAATGGACAAGAAAAAAAATCAATGGAAAGGAAATCAACGTAGAGATAGGGATTGTTAGGACAGAGAGTGAGAGAGAAAAGCAAAAGTAAAAGAAAGAGATTGATGCGCAACCTCTCCACACTCCACTGGCCTCTAATTACTAAGAACACAGCATGCTGTTCATCACCTGCTTCTCTGTGTGTGTGTTATTCTTCGGTATATGTCTGTGTGTAGTTGTGTATGTCCACACCCAAGGGTAGTGTCAGAGTTCAAGGAAAATACTAAAAGAGCCTTGAAGTGTGGAATTTTTATGCCACCTTGCCAAGTGTCCACTTGGACTCAAGGATGAACTGATTAGATTTTGGTGGTCGAAGGTCAAGGTTAGTGACCTCATGTTTATCCCATTCCTGTGTGTCTGAATGGATGATGGAGGCACAGGACCACAAAGTGGTAATTCTAGTTTTCAGTGTACACATTAGTTGTATACACTGAAAACTAGAATTACCACTGTGTGGACTTTTGGACATTATTTTCTATTTTTCTGACAATGTGTTTTTATATATTTTTAATTGTTTCCTGTTCGTTTACTACTTCAATGATGTCAGTGCTTGGTTTGTTCTGCCTTGTATTTTTTTCAGCAAAACTGTAATTTTAAACTTTCTCTTTCAAGTAAAGGATATTACCAGAAAATCACACACACTTAGACACAATGGAGTAAAGAGCCTGACAATGGTATTTAAAAAGTGACAGAAAGCTGTTGAGGGATGAGGGAGATTTAGGGGGATGAAGCAAAAAGGAGACAGACAATATTATTACATAAAGGTTATATCAGCAAAATGTGAACAAGAATGAGAAGAGTGAGGAAGACAGGGAGAAAAAAAGAATAATTTCTGGGTAACCACTTTATCGGTATAATGCCTAGTTAATTTGTGGAAATGGAAATCAAATCAAATCAAATCAAATTTTATTTGTATAGCGCCAAATCACAACAAAAGTCATTTCAGGACACTTTACAAAGTAAGGTCTAGACCTTACTGTTATCAATATTATTACATAGGGAAAACCCAACAAATCCCCCTTGAGCAAGCACTTGGCGACAGTGGGGAGGAAAAACTCCCTTTAACGGAAGAAACCTC